AATAAACCAAGCTTCTGCTGACCTGACCTAAAGTTTGCTGCGTGTGTTTACGACAAGGGGAAAGAAACTACATCATCTTAACTCATTTAATAAACGGCATATCAGGGTTTTCCAGGGCACTTTTCTGGTTCACAGAAATACCCCTCAGTTAGTAGGTCCTGCACTGTATTCATTTTCTTCTCCCTAGATAGTTCTGCAAGAGTAAGTTCTAAAATGAGGTAAAACCAAAAAAGTGATGCTGTAGCAATACAGACTAGAATTCAGAGCAGAGGTGTCCTGTGTTGCCTTTTCTCAGAACTATGAGCTCTTTTTTCTTCAGTCTTCTGACCATATGTCAGCACAGCTGGAATGGATTTTCTCAAGTACATCTATACATTGTCATATGAACTTCTCCAAATCAGCTGTCACCAGTACCAACCACCCTGCTGAGGTTTCCATTGTAAATAGTAATTTCAAAATCTTTAACCAACACATTGCTTGGCTTTTACTGGAAAGAGTCTCGTTTAGCAGTGAGACATTTAAATATATGCAACACACAGACTTTCCATTGCCCTTTCCCCCCCTCCCCTCCACCTAAAAATGCACGTAAGCAATAGGGAAATAGAATGAAACACTTAATGATTTCAGCTCCCCAAAAGGACCAGAAAGGGAGGGGGAATTATGTAAGCAAACTTGCAGCCTCATTGCCACTGCCAGGTGCTCGGGCTCCTGAAAGAACACAAGGCATTGTGGGTCGTGGCATGGTACATCACAGACAGTAGACCTCTGAGGAGCTTTACCCCAGTGCTGACCAGCCTATATAAATAGCAATCACAACTCCAGCCTCCTCCTCAGATCCATATCCCAAAGAAAAGGGTACTGGTCAAGGGAGAGAAACCAGGAGGGTCCAGTCCAAAACTCACACTGCTTGCCCATGCTGTTGGAAAGATCTTTGCTTCCTCTACAACTGGACAACAAAAAGTGTGTGTGTGTGTGTGTGTGTGTGTGTGTGTGTGTGTGTGTGTGTGTGTGTGTGTTTTGGAAACTCTGAATAGAAGCCTCATTCTGCCCCCAAAGACCACAGTTGTTTTATTTTAAACTATCAAAGTCAAAGCTACAATTTAACGTTTTAATTTAAAAGCTTCCCCCCAAAACTATTCATTTGTGTGCTCTGCTCTACTTATTCTGTGGTAAGTTTAGCATTCTTTGACGGCATTAGTACTTTGTAGGCTTGTGTGTAGAGCACGTGTAATTGAAGTCAAGAGGAGCCATAGATTCTTTTTTAAACCAAGCCAAGGTGTCCAAAGTTGGTAACATAAAATGAAAAGCAACTTTTAAAAATCTAAGTTTTAGTATTTTTCATTTATGTTACAGCATCACCTAGAGGCCCTGACAGACTGGTGCCTACACTATCTACACAGACAGGAGAGAGAGCCATGGCCCCCAAAAGGCCGCAGCTCAAATAGACACCCAGTACTTGGATGACAATGTTAACCTGAGATATTTATAGTAAATCATGTGGGCTTTAAAAAAAAAAAATCACCAAGGCATTAACTTTATTCCCCATTTAATATTTACAGAATGAGCTTTGGATCAAGTCCCTAAAAGAGCTGTAGCTTTAACCATAAAAATAAGTAATCCCATCATTTCACAAGCATTTGCAACTCCAGAAGTATGGAAAATACTAAAATTAAATCCACGTGCATGTTTAATACAGTCTGACCTTACCTTATTGCTGATTATAGGAATTCAGTGTTTATAATAGACATTCTTTCCCATACTTTCTTTTTCAGATGTGAAGAACTTGGGTTTATGGTTTTACCAGATTTTAAGTTATATCTGAGACTGCACTGGGAGCTACTTAGACTGCCCCCTGGTGTAAAGCTGGTGAGACCAGTCCTGCAGCCTGCAGGAAATACTAAAATAAAACTGATATATCTCAGGATCCTGCCTGGGTCAAAATAATCTCAAATTATTTTGTAAATCCATTGAGATTTCTGAGATTTACAAGATCCAGCTCTACGTTAATAAAAACTTTAGGAAATTCAGAATTTATTATATAAATTCTGCACAGGATGCATGCAGTGAGCAGGAATAAACCAAAATTTGAAGAATAATTGTGGAGGGGGAAAAAGGAATTACCTTTACAGCAGCTGTTGTTCTTTGAGATGTGTTATGCACACCCACAGTCCATCACGAGTGTGTGTGCACAATGTAATTAAGCGAAATACTTTCACTATTACCACTGGGGTGAAGCATGCTGGACATGAGATGTGGCTGCCTTGCTGCCTTCTTGCTTTTAGTGATCCATCATTAAAAATGTGGGGGTGGAGAGAGTGAAAAAGTATAGTTGTGCACAAGACATCTCACAAGTTACCACAAAAGCAACAATCTCTTCTTCAGGTGACTGTGTGCATAACTTTTGTGTTCAAACTTCCAAGAAGTTGTCTGTGAAGGTGGTGGTGTTTAGGACCTTCTGGTACAGAACAGCCTTGCCAGCATCAGCATCAGGTCAAGCTTGGAGTAAGGAAGCATGTCAAGAAAAGGTAGAAGTGATGATCATGTATCTGTCTTGCAGATGTCTACAATAGTAATACTCTTCAGAAAAGCTGCTGAAGGATCCCTCACTCATATAAAAGGGGAAGAGACCCATAATAGGTGGAATTCTGTGAGCTAAAGTGAAAGATCTTATACATGCAGAATCCAGCTGGAGATTTGTTAACCTAATATTGCATGACCTTTTGATCCTTCTGCTAAAGAACAGTCATGCTTCCCCTCTGCTTCCTCATTTTGCCTATTTGGCATAGCACCCTGAAAAAAAAAAGACCAGAGAATGAAGCCTCTTCATCTTTTAGAAGTGCAGCTAAGAAAAGATTATAGGTGAGTGAACTATTTGATTTGGGCAAAAGCCTGATGCAACTTTTGGCCTGAATTTAGGTTGTGGCCTCTAAGAAAACCTTATCCTTGGTGAGTATTGTGTAAGATGGCTCTGATCTCAGGTTTTGTAATAGGTAGTTGGCATATAAGCCTTAAAACTCTTTACAGCTTAGGGGGTGGGCGTGAGAAGACAAAACTATTTTGTTGTATTGGAGGGTGGATCCCTGAAATGGCTGATAGATTAACTGAAGAAAGTGAGCCTGGAAAGTTTTTGGTGTAACAGATAATATAATATATGCTGAATGTCAGAGTGGGGTGGACAGAATTGGTTGGAAACAGCCCTGGCCGAGAATCTTTTCCATGTAGTGAGATAAGTAGTTCTTGTAGACTTCTGTTATTAGTGAGTGTAGTCTAAACATCTTCCAAGGATTCAAAGACCTCCTGAACTAATTTAACCACTAATGAGATCTACTAAGAGTGTGGTTTTAGACAAAGTGATTGACCTTGCTTCTGACAGGAGGACATATATGAGTGGAAGGAGCCAGGGTGGTTGGATGGACAAGTCTGATAAGTTGAGATACTTCAGCTAAATTCATGTTAACTGAACCACTGTGGCTCAATCCTGTTTTAGTTTTTTTAAATAACCTCATCATTAGTGGAAACACAGATAACATATAAGGGAGTTTATACCGAAAAGGAATGCATGTGTCCTGGAACTGGGTCTTGGTCCAAGCTGGAGTAATAGTGCCAGAAGTTGATGCAGAGACTGATGGAAGCAGTTGTGTGCGCAAAGTATGGAAGTGGAGAGGATAATTCTAATCAATGGCATTCATTACTCATTTGCTGGGAACCAAGAGCATTTTGAAGTCTTCCAAAGATGGGACCGTGACTCCATCTTCAGGATTACGGCTGTCAAAGGAGCTTTTTCTTTGATAATGCAACCTGAGACTATGACAGTATGGTGCACATATTAAACAGGCCAAGCTTTGTTAGACAATGGAGTATCAGAAATACAAGGAGGCCTTTTAGAAACTTTCTCACAGGCTGAAAACAAACATTGTTTTTTGTGTTGTCATAACATTTTTAGGGCAGCAAAAAGGCAAAGCAAACAAACGCTCATGATTTGTGGCTGCAACACAGGTGGTACAAATTTGTGCCACTTTGTTTTGGGAGAGGCTTGTCAGGTTTATGGAAGGCCAGCGTGGTCAGCCCAGAGCTGATCTTCTGGGACAAGGGGTAACATGTTCCCTGCTTACAACAGAGATGCTGGATGGAGATGGCTGGGGAAACCCTCGCTTTCCCTGCTTACAGACTTGCCAGCGAGATTGAACCGGAGCAAGTTGGACACTCCAGTGTGGCCCTTGGCACATCTCGAAGCGGGAAACATGTCACCAACTGTCCCTGAAGATTAATTGGTGGGACAAGTGACATATGTTTCACCCAATAAAGTTAATCAGATGTGCTGGGACGCATCCTGGCAGAGCTGATCTGCTTCATTTGACAATATCTATTTCTAGCCATAGCAAAACAGGTCTCAGTTTGTATCTGAAGTGTCCAGATACTTTAACAGCCTGGTGATTTTAAGATAGTTTGATAGCAATGAAAAAGACGGCATTAGCACTCCGTTTGTGTGGCATGTACAAATAATGCTGTTTGGGCAAATGCACCATGCCTATACATTCCTCCTACTTAAATGATGGTATTTCACTTCCCTGGCATAAGAAGAACCCCTTCTGCTAATAACTTATTCTTCTATGACAAACTCTTCTCTTCACTTTAAAAGCCTGCAATCAAAGCCAACTTGCAACATCTCTATTATTGCAAACTATGTAAACATGAAAGAATGGAGTCACACACTGGAAATGTAAAATCAAAAGCCTTTTCATCAGGGAATATTCATTTGGCATACTGGAAATCTGAAGTGCGTCTAAAATAAGAGAAAGCTGTGGTTTTACCATACAGATTTTAAAAGTCTGTTCCTCCCAGGTGGCCAACTGCAGTGAGACTTCTGTGCATGAAATAATCTGGAGAGGATTTGGTGAGCTCTCAAGAAGAGGCAGAATAAAAATTAATAGCTTTAAAGGTAACATGATCAACCCCAATGTCCCATTGTATATAGAAGACAAACACATAGGGGTGATTTCTTTTTTTTTTTTTACTGAGTTACTGCAAAATACAGTAGTTTGCAATCAATACAGAGCAATTCTATGGGAGATGCTGTTATGTGCAGGGTGATTCCTGTGCCATCTTGTGAGAAATGTAGTAAATATCATGGTTTTAATAGATAGAACACCAAACAGTTCTTGTCACAGATGAATAAGGAAAGTAAACTCCTCTATGGATTTCATTTGACACCATACTTGATTTAAAGCACTTGCCATTAAACCACAATACTGGCAGCTGCTGGTCCCATTTACTTGTGGTGGCTTCCTGTTTATTCCAAGCTTTCTTTCTTGAAAACTGTCTATTGCTATCAAATCTGCTCACAGTGTTGTAAACTGTGGACACCACCCTCTTGTTTCTGCCAAGTTGTTCTGAACTGGCCCCCCTTCAATGACTGCCATGAAGGGCTGTCTCCAGAGGGCAAATTCAGCCCCTTCAATGACAGGGGGCAGATGTTTTAAAACTGGAGGATAAAAAAATAAAGAGGAGAGAAAAGGAAGACAGGAAGGTAAGAGTGGACTATATGGAAAGGCAGAAAGTGGTTATAAGAAGGACAGTGCATCCGTAACAGAAACACATTATTGGTTAAGCAGCAAAATTCTTGATATAAGGATATTGTTACAACAGCTCAAGTTATTCATCATCACAGGTGTCACACAGAGTCCAGCAATAATTGCTTTGAAGTTTGATCATGAGATCACGTTTGTTTTGCAGCTATGATCAAAAGCACCTTTCTTATTTCTACCAATGCAAAGGCAATTTCCATGGAAAATGGAGCAGAAATGGCAGTTGTCAGTCAGCAGATGACCCGTGAAAACACTTGTTAATTTCAGCCAAGATTACTGGCAGTGCAGAAAGCGCCATTTTACAAACAGCACCTAATGACTAGATGCTTTCTCCCCTCCTCCCTGCTTTTTAAAGGAAATGAAAAAACAAATAAACCACACAGTCTTATGTGAAACATTTAAAAGATACTGTCAAGACAACATCTCTTTCATAGGTATGAGCTGACGGCCTTGACTCACTTTCTACTGGCCAGCATCCAGAAATTAGAACTTTCAACTAGTGACTCTCGTATGTTTCCCTTTTTACATTTTTAGATACAACTCACGGGGTGAGCATCAGCTCTGCATTTGCAAAATGTCTGCATGCATCACTACATGCCAGGATTGAACAACTGAACTTGAAGCCAGCTTACTCAGGCCAGGATGAGCTTGACGTCTGCTGTGAGTGTATGCACATTTTGCAAGTACAGAATAGGCTTTTGCCTTTGAAAGCTGTGGTCCTTAAAAACAACATGATGAAGCCTGACGCTTGCTTTGGTACTGATTCAATAGAAAACAACTTCACAATGCCATCTTCAGTCTTTCAGTGACTGAATTAAAAACCAGAAAAAATATGAAACAACACATTTGAATATCCAAATGAAGTTGCAAATACATTCAACAGTATACAGCATGAAGAGAACAAATGGATACCCAAGGTACTCAGCACTGGTAATACAAAAACAGAATATTTATAGGTAAATCTAAATCTTCCTGACCTTCTTATGTAACATTTAACAGAGATGCAGCAACAATGACATAGCAGCTTTCACGGTAAACTGGTTCTGAAGTTGCACATTTGTGTTTGATTGAAAAAAGGAAGGGCTTCCAAAGAGTTAGGCAGCAGCATGGTAAGTGCATTCAAAATTTTGATAATCTGTGGCACATGCATAGTCCTTGATTTGATTACAGAGGATACTTCCCCGATTTACTGTATCATACACTCCTATGAGGTCTTTACCATATTTTATAGTATGCACCCTGTGGCAAACTGCAGTAACATTACTCAGATACATTTAAAATTGTAGTTGCTATAAGGGCACGTGACTCCTAGATACTATTGATTCTTGCTTAACATGTCTGGTTATCTGAGCTCTTTGGGGTTACAGGTCCCCAAAACTAGTTGGCACCTAAAATAATTAAGAGAACTTGATAACTTAGTACAGAAACTAGCTGATATTGAACGTTTGATTTAAGATTGATCATTACACTCTCTGAAGTTCATGCGAATTACCTACTTGAACTGTGGTTGTAATTATTACAGATGTTGCAAAAAGAGGGTTGTCTGCTATAAGCTATTTGATAGCATCTTAGAAAATAGTAATATGCATTTTGAATGTGATTGTAATTATTACAGATGTTTCAAAAAGTGGTTTATTTGCTATATGCTATTTGATAGCATATTAGAAAATAGCAAAATAACACTGTCTAGCACAATAACATTGTGCTAACCCCTTGAAGAACACAGTAAACCTTCACAAATTAGTGAAAGTTTACAGAACAGGCACACTACAGTACTTCATGGAGAAGCTGCTTTATCATCAGGCATGACAGTATACCAAAGCCTTCAAAGCAGCCTTTACCATGAATCTTATTAAAAAAAAATACACGGTGGAATCATTTTAGGTACTGTTCAGATGTAAGCAAATAAAGGCATGAGTATATTACAAATAATGAAACAGCTGAAAGAATACTGTCTAAGTGATATCCTATGCTTAACACCTGATGCAGTTAAGAGCAGAAAATACATAGCAGTAATGGGGAAAATATAAGTAAAACTAAATAACAGCAGTCCCTGGGGGCAGTAGGCAAAGTCCTCACTACTTTGTAGTGGGTTTTCATGTATGCATATTAATTAGGCCTGAACAAATAAGAGTGTGTAACAAAATGAGAAGAAAAGAAAAGCTTATTTAAAGTTCAGTCTTTGACCGTTACAAGAAACCTGGACATACTCCTTAGTTGGTAAAAGCCTGCCACCAAATAGAAAGTCTGTAAATCAAATCACTGACTGGATACAAGCAGGGAATTTTAAAAAAATGCTCCAAACCATTAGTATAAAAAAAACTTAGTTCTCAGGCTGAGAATGTAGGGCAGAGCTGTCAAAAGACTGCATGCACTTCAAAGCAAAGTAATTAAAACAAACCAGAAAAACAAAACCAAGCCAACTGGGTATCAGTCCATTAAATTTTGGGTTACTGATTTTTAACTAATATATTAAAAATACAACTGCAATACCTGAACATAAACCGTCATATACCTGTTGTGAGCAAACCATGCTTTTCAACATACTACTAGTTTTTGAGTGCCAAGTGCTGAAGAAATTAGATTGAAGCCAGTGGCAAGTGACAGCAGGCGATGGTTTGCAATACACTGATGGCTCCACTTTTACTAGGCCCTTTGATTACTGAAAGCATTTCTCCCCCACATATTCCTCCTGTATTCTTAGTAACCTTCCACTTGGGAATTCAGAACCAGGTGCAGTTTCCCTTCTCATCTTTAGGGACACTCTGAAACATCTTTAAAGACTGGTCTTATTTCTTGCCAATTCCATTGGTTACTTTTGTTTTGGAATGACGATTCCTCCTTCTTGATGAATGGCTCTCACTGTTGCCTGAATGTTTTGGTGGACTATCTTCAGTACCTACAGAGAAATAAAAAATACACTTCAAATTTGCAGCTACTCTGTTCCAAAAGCCTCTTTGTTTTTCAGTTTTAAAAGCTTCCTAGACATGTAATGTTTGAATTAATTATTTCAGGATGCTAACATTTGGTTGATACTAGCACTCCATCTAGTGGCCTAATTACAAAAAACTGTTGGTTTCACAATATTTCTTTTTCTGGATCTTTATTACCTGCAGTCCCACATTTGGACTTGTGCAGGTGGGGAGGTATGTTTATTACCAATACACCCTACTATTAACCTCATTCACATTTTACTATATAAGAAAATTTGAAAATGATCAGATAATGCAGATGAAGTTAGGGATGCTGTAAAAGCTGCTAAACCAAAAATTAAAGTTTTTCCTCTGATGTGGTGGAAAATCCATCTGAATACAAGTATGTTTTTAAAATAAATCTGGTGCTTCCCTTTTAAGTAACAAACCTAGAAGAAATTAATACCTAGAAAATCTGTACATGCAACTAAGAGAAATGTGTTGCACTGTTTCCAGTGTCAGGACTGCAAGAAATTAAATGGAGAGCATTTCTTTTTAATACTCCAGTAGTATAAGCACTGACAGGCAACTTCCAGGTGCTAAACCTGTTTATAAGAAGGGCCTTTCAAAAGAACAAGTAAAAAATGAGCTGCCCAATTGACCTCCAACATAAGAAAACGGAAAGAAGACAAGCTAGATGATTTTGGTTTAGAGAGAGAAAAAGCTGTCTGTGATCATCAGCCTTGCACTGACTTGGTGAGTGGCAGTTGGAACATAAGCTCCAGGGCACATTCCTGACTGCTCACTAACAAGCAGGAATAAAAGTATATTTCACATTCAGATATTTACTTGAAACCAAATGTGGAAAAGGTCAGCAGACCCTGCCTGACCTAGTTATGAAGTGCATTAAATTCTCCAGGTGAAGCATTCAATATTAGGACAGAATGGAACAACAGGAGGAAGGGTTATTTGTTCCATTAAAAATTAAATTCTAACAAAGCTGAAAGGAATTCAGTGAAAGCAGTGGGCATGGTAGTCTATACCTGTACCCGTGGGCATGTGCAAGTGAACCAAATAATCTATAGTGCAGATTTCTCAAGTGTCATTTGGACAGACTAAGTCTCATTCCTAGTGAACAGCCCTGAGAATGAATCCACAAAGGTAACAATACCTTTTGTGAATTTAGAATGAAGCCAGGAGGCATCTGGGCTGTATGGGCTGTCTTCGCTTTCTGACAGGGTCTGTAAAAAGCAAGAAGAACAAGTCATTGGGATGCTGCTCTTTGTAACCACACACCGATACTCTCTTCTACATTAACATTTCCTTTTAGACAGATTTAAAGCATCAATAGGAATTCTGATAAAACACTGCTAACAACAGTAAAAGCCCTTCCCCGACCTGGGTAGGAAGCACAAAAAACTGACGCAAGAGGAACACGTCAGCTTCTACGTGTGATCTGTTCTGTTACAAAGCTTTGTATTGTAATATTCATCCATCTATATGACGTGGACATTCGTTTTCCAGAGCCCACTGATAAAATCACAGGCCTATTCTGAATAGCTTGGATTGCAGATTACAGTAATGTTGGGCCTGATCTAAAACAAGAATTTTGTGAAGACTTTCTATGGATTTTAATGAGCTCTGGATCACGTCTATTTCCCCTCTTTTTTAACATTTTATTTTACTTCCTTTTTACAAAGACTTAAATATACCTTGGCCTTTTGTACGGATTTAAAATAAAGAAAATGGACTCCCCCAAAGTACCTTTTCTCGGTGGCCATAGTATTCTGCATACCAAACCATGCCATATAAACACAGGAAAGTAGTAAAAGCCTGTAAGGAAGAGAAGAGATATTAACATGTTTACAAACTCAGCCTAAATTCACTGCTGGCTTAACAGCATTAAATCAATGGCCAACAGAATCGGGTCCTTTGTTTCACAAGCCATTGGTAAATCCACACTGTTTACTGAGCAAAGAACGCTTACAAATGTAAATATCCTCAGGATATCAGGGCCTCTCTCTACAATCCATTTTGGCAGGAGTAGTTCTTCCTCACCAAATTCAGTGGGACTGCTCATATGCACATATTTTATCATGTATATAAGCTTGGTAGGACCAAGGCCCCTCTTTGGTAATTCTTTTCCAACATTATACATGTTATCCTGCAAAGTTACAATACTGTAAACACATAAGCACCATATGATTGCACTTAAGAACTGTCAGGGGTGGAAAAGATTTAGGGCTAAGATGAAAGTTTCATTATGAGTTGTTCCGATTTAGCAAAGTACTTATACGATTTTAAACTGAGTGTAAAAATTACACGGTCTAGTACTTTGTGAATAAAGCCCTTGTGAATAAAGCCAGACCCCAAGAAAGGAATAAAAGTCTGACTTCCTATAACCTGTATAAAATATGTTCATAGCAGTCTAGTCCCTGATTACAAGGACATTTTTCTCACTAGTTATAATACATAGGTTTGCCATCAGACTTAACAGCTCCAAGTTAGGCAAGATCAGCAAGATGAGCACCAGCTATTATACTGTAACTTTTAGGCCAAAAGTGTTGCAAAACTGCTCCTACTTTAACCCTGCTTCATCCAGAGTCAAAGCTGATGCATGATGATGCATGGGCAGAAGCTCCCCTTCTGAAACCACTCCAAGGGAGCATTTGTTTGTCTATACCCAGAAGGGTCTCTTTTTCTCTGTCTCTTTCTCTGACATGAACCTGTTATTTCTAATATTTTTCCTTATAAAACAGAAAAAAAAATAAAACCAGTGGCAACTTCAAAAGTGTAGATGAAAGGACTGTATCCCATTATGTCACAAACAGAAAAATACATCTATTAAAAAAAACAAAACTTTAGAGAAAGCGTTGTGCTTTGAGAGATACCGGTCAAACCCAACATTCGCCAATGTAGATTTTGGTATATGATGTTATTAACACTCTCAATGCATATTTCATGAGAGAGAAATATTACTTACCACACAAAGAAACCAAAACACAACATACAATATCTGTGTTTTGGAAAAAAGATCTTGTCCAAACTTGATGCACACAATAGCTTCTAGGAAAGCAATGACCCTGGGGGAAGAGAGAAGTGGGGGAAAAGGTGAGGTAACGAATACAGAAGATTTAATATAAAAAGGTTGGGGTTCTAGATTTGCAGTGGCTCTCTGTAGCAACCTTTATTTGCAGCAGCATAAGCAAAAATTTTGAAGGCGATTTCTTGTTTCTTCTCAAGTGAAGAACACATGAGGAGTGATAGGCTGATGGCCTGCAAGCTGGACTCCTCTGCTTATTTACAGAATAGCTGAAGTATGCACAGTGGTAATAAAGGCTTCCCCACACTTTCACTAATGCACTCCCACTAATATGCTTGGAGAGATAAGTTGATGATTGCACCTGCATGTACATTCAGTTGCTCTGTGGACACCTGTTCACTAGACTGATAACATCGATTCATTTACCCTAGGCCAGTCAAGATACGAGCTGCCTAGGAAGGATTTTAATTGACAAGGCAGCCGCAACTCCTGAGCAATCCATTTACCCTATACATATTTCCATTCCCTACCTGCAGCAGCCTGAGATTTGTGGGCAAACCCTTAAGCTAAAATAACTGTAAAAACTAAATCCTTTTTTGTTATTATAAGAACTAACAACAATCCTCTTCGGTGCTGGGTTCACCAGTCAACAAACCACTCATGTCTACATTTTTCCAGCTCATTGATACAGGGAAACCTTCAGAAACCTTGCCTCCTTATTTTCCCTTAGCTGTCCTCAACTCATGGTGGCAAGAAGGGGTGCCAGGGAGGGGATGGAAGTACAGACTGGGTAAATGGCATGGCAGGAGGTACCATGTTTGAAATGGGTCATAAAATCTTCCAATCTCATTGTGCCATTGTTTTAACATCTGTTGGGAGGTGCCATTTTATATCACAAATATTCTCCACAAAGGGGTCCATTTAAAATAGGTCATAAATTTTCCAGCCTGGCAAGTTTAATCCCTTAGTAATTAAATTTTAAAATGATCCTGCAGACAGAACACAGGATTGAAAGTCAGTAAACCTGGATTATAAACCCGATTGATGCCTTAGGAAATAGCTTAACCTTCAGTCCTCAATTTTCCAATCCATAAAAATGGAGATAATACTTCCCCTACTGTTCCACCAGGGCTCTTTATGTTGTAATTCATTAACCACGAGATCTTCAAACAGAAGGCTACAAGGCTGCAATATTATTTCTGCAATGTAGTATTACCAATGGTGTTTGTAGATATAATACCTGGTGTATGCAACCTGTGCTCTCAGGGCCAGATCTTATTCTGTGTGTTGCGCACTAAGCATAATGCTATTTCACTCTGTTCAAGTCCCTGAAAATCGCTGTCATCTTAGCCTTAAGACTAAATCACAAAAAAGCATATGACAATGCCACCTGTTAGATTAATATTTTTAAGGGTTCAAGCATGGTAGAATAGGGTTGTGTTTAGGGGCCTAATAGGTGGAATAGGAGCTATTCAGATGCACAGAACTTTGGATGTGACAATCAGCCCTCTTACAGAATCAGAATTGTTTTTATCTTTGGACAGTAGCTCATTTCCTTGCCAAAACTCTGTATAGTTGGTCAGGAAGAAAAGCCTTTATTTTAATAACAATAAGCCATTTTTATTAAACCAAACAAGGAAAAAATAACTGGGCTAGGTAAAATAATGAGTACCAACTAAAGACTATGTAGAAGAGAGAAGAACAAAATGTTTTTGAAGACTTCTTTTTAGATCCTTTTCGTCCTGAATTTCACTCAATCTTCTTCTTAATTTAACTGTATTATCAGCTTTATTTCACTGCAATTTCTATATGCATTCAAATGATAATTTTTTTCCCTATGTTAAGAATTACTCTTTTCCCAACTTGATGAAAGGGGACTGGTAGTTTGTTATCTACCCCCCTCCCCCCACTATTCTAATGTAGGGGTCAACAATGTTTTTGGCCAGAGTGCCAAAAACACCCCAACCTCCACCCATGCCTTGACTTGGTGTGCCAGGGACAGACCATGGGGGAGCTGTGAGGGGCCCAATCCTTGTTGCTGGTGGCAGCTGCATGCGTACCTCAGGGTGGATACCTCCGGGTGGTTGTGCTGCCCCAGCCCCTTCCCTGTCCTGAGCCCTGAGGTATGCATGCAGTCGTTGCTGGCACAGAGCTGATGCTAGGGCTCTGGAGTGGTGCAGCTGTACCAGGCTTCAGAACTCCAGTCAGGCTCCATGGTGGCAGCAGGCGCATGCACCCCTATGGGAGGACAGTGAGGGAGGGGCCTGGGGCAGCGCAACCCCAGCCCCTCATCTGCTGTCCACCTGGAGGTGTGCATGCAGTCATTGCTGCCAGGAAACCTGGCCATGGGCTCCAGAGCTCAGTGCAGCTGTTTGCAGCCTCTTTCTTTACTGCCTGCCACAGCCAGCCCAGGCAGCTGTAGCAGGCAGCTGGCTGGCTACAAACAGCTGCAACAGGCTCTGGAGCACCGGCACTGGTTCCACGGTGCCAGTGGTAGCTACATACGCACCTCTGAGTGGATGGCGGGGGAGAGGCCAAGGCTGCACTGGCCCAGCCCTCTCCCCCACCATTTGCTCAGAGGCATGAGTGCAACCACTGCTGCCATGGAACCTGGCTAGGGCTCAGGAGCCAGGTGCAGCAGTTTGCAGCCTCCCAGCTGCAGTCAGCCCAGGCTCTGGGCAGCTGTTGCCAGCCATGGAGCCCGGGCTGCTTGCAGCAGGGCTTGCAGCCTTCCGGCTGCCTGCTGCAAACAGCCCAGGTTCTGTGGTTGGCCTGGGCCAGCTGTGGTATGCTGAGCAAAATGGCTTCACATGCCATGCTGTGACACGTGCCGGGAGACTGCTGACCCCTGTTCTTATTGGTTGCAAACGTTGCCACTTTTCATACATATAGCAGGGCCCTGCAGGCTACTGCTCACTTTTAGAGTCTCCAAGAGCAACATTTCCAATTACTCCATTACAGCAAGGTGAGCCAGGCTCTCGGGATGTCTTTTTTTTCTCAGTCTGAATCATGCAACACATACATTGGTTAGTGACTGATCCATTAGTATGAACACATTCACTTCATTTCTTGATTCATTTTTGAAAAGAAGTTTAATCCTTAACAAAAGATTAGGCAGTTTCTTTGCAAGCAAGAAAGTCAGCATACTCTATAAGAAGCAGTGGCATTGAGCTAAAAGCCACCTTTTATGTTCTTTGCCATTTGTACACATGCCAGAACCAATAAAAGAAAAGAAAACAAACCAGCACATTTTGCATAAACCAGCACTATCCCTGAAATGTGTAGCTAAAAGCTCAGCTTCTAAACCAGTGGTTCTCAACCTTTTTAGACTTATGGGACCTCCTGTTAGACTCAAGGCACCCCTTGAAAAATACAAGCTCTTAGTTCATAGATTCATAGATGTTAGGGTTGGAAGGGACCTCAATAGATCATCGAGGCCGACCCCCTGCATAGGCAGGAAAGCGTGCTGGGTCTAGATGACCCACGCTAGATGCTTATCTCACCTGCTCT